TCCTCTGAAGAAACATTTGTGTGAGCATTTCGATCAAATATCTATGATAGTACCTGAAAATAGTTTTTCTATTTGCTTCGATATCATTTTCCATTACGTAAACAAATCGAACTTGACGCTGAGAATTGTAGTTTGTTAGAAGTTTATTTTGACGCTGCACTATTCACGGAATGTCTTTCGCAGACAAGAGAGAGATACTAAATGAAGTCTATTGAGAGGCAAAGTAAATCCACAGTTGATTGAGACTTGTTGTGTCTGACAAAGATTGCACTACTCTGCATAACTGATAGAGAATGCGCAGCTCTATGAAGCTTAAGATTCATTAAGAGATTCAAAAAGAAAGAACTTTAACACAGACAGGTAATCAGCAAGAAGTTTTGTAAAATCCAATTCCATTTGCGATCAAAATAATGGATATCATAAAGCTACTTGAACTATTTCTGAAGCTAGAGAAAATAAATGCGGAAACTTCGGATTTAAATCCGAGAGTTATGTGTACTTCAAAAACTGAATCATACAAATCAATCATCCTAGACTATCGAATATATCAAAATTATACTGTCAAATCTAACATTTATAATGTTGGTTTATATTCCGCGTCGCCAAACCAATAGGATATCGGACCGAACTAAGCTCAACTTTCAACTCTGCACCGTGATTTACTCTAAGAAAGTCTTTTTTCCTATAATTTCACTTCTATTGGTCACTGCACAACTAATAGTATTCCGATGGAAGTCCAGTACACATTCGAGTTCTCCATACCTGAAAACCTCGAAGTATCATCAGTCTAATCGGAAGATAAAGCTCGATTTGTGGATCAATTAGATTGTGGACCGAAATCTAACCTAGTTATCTTTAATTATCTTTGTGATAGGTTAGTCAACGTTCTTGGTTCTTTATGTTTTATATATCATTTTTTAGTACTTGAAATTTTCTATGGAATGGTATTTAATAGTTGGGGTTTTAATTGACTATGATAGGAAAAAGTCTTTTACGAAAGTCGTGATGGGTCCATTTTCCCACAGAAAGCTATAGGGAAAAATGGGTATTTTTGCAATAACTCAGGAACGGCTCGACCGGTCTTTCTCATCTTCGAACTCGACTGAGCTATTGCCAAGACTAAACTGTGTAGAAATTTTCATCCCAATCTGACTCTGCTGTCAAAAGTTATTATGCAAACAGCCAATCGGACGGACGGACACACTGACTATTCTATAGTCTATGAACTCCTTGAGTACACAAAACTATGATTCGGTTCAAAACTAATATCAGATTCGGAATCAGCGTTAAAAACTGAGTCGATTTATATATGCTGTGAACAATTCAGAGAAAAAAAATTTTTTTTTGAAAAAATCCCTGTACCCCCCCTCAGGGATGGTCTGGTCAAAACTCACAATTTTTTTTATAACTCAGTCATTTCTCGACGGATCCTTCTCATCTTCGAACTCGACCGAGATATTGTAAAGACTGAACTGTGTAGAAAATTTCATCGCGATTGGACTCTCCTTTCGAAAGTTATCGTGTTAACGGCCGGACGGACGGACGGCCGGACACACTGACCGATTCTAGAGTGTACTCACTTTTTGAGTACACAAAAAATAACGAAAACTTCATATCTCACTCTTTCTTCAGGGTGCTTCAAGGATTTCGCAGAACTAATCTTTGAATGGAGGGAATGAAGTTTAGCTGTTTCCTAATTACTGTAAGTACTTGTGACGACGATAAGAATTCTTGCTGCATTTTGCAAAGTCTTTTTCATTTTTCAAGCCCAATCAGCTAATTGAATTTCAAAACAATGATCTTAGTGAATTATCATCAAGTATCTGGAACTTAATGTCAAAAAGATTCCAATAAAATTACCCCGAACCAATATATTCCAGTCACACGTTATTGCGAGACTCTAACTAAATAAGACATTGCCTAGAGTAGACCTGTAGGGATATTTGTGTAGGAAACATTCTCTTTTTGTATTTTTCGAAATCTGATAACCTGAAAGACAGACTATAGCAGAGTGAAAACCAAGCATAACAAACAATCCTTCACTTCATTTCACACCAATTCAATCTTTGCTACGGTGTTAAAAGAGCATCGATGCATTTATTCCAATCTTAGTAACAAAATGATCGAGGAGTATAGCATCAACGTCCTACAAGTACACTGAAATGCGTGCCAATAATTATGTTTCACGAAGCATCATAATAAAAAAATAGAAACATAATGGAATCAATGCAGTGATTGGAAGGCGAGCATCACTAATCGAGATTTCCGCTTGAGTCTTACTGTAAGTTTCGTAAGCTATTTTATTTAACTTATGAACTTATTGTCTTTACACGAGTAGGTTTTAATAATAATATGTTGACTATAGTGCAAACTGGGAAACAAGGGTAAAAAATGAGATTGAAAGAAGAACGATTAGAAAACAAAACAGTGAATGTAAGTTCTACTGGTTAAACCAGTAGGAACACATATATATACATATGAGCACATTGAAAAAATACGCATACGGCAGAGTATAACAGTGCGAAAAACCCTATATACCTTGAAGGTGTGCTCAGTGGTAGGATACCCTAACTATCGTTTCTTATATAGCTTGAGTCACATATGAGAAAATTTTGATCTTTTTTACCGGTTACAGTACACATATTATGCCAACAATCTGTTATAATTTTAATTTATGAGTTATATCTCATGGGAACCAAAGGTTATCAAGTATTTCTTTCATCACTTCAAAAAGAAAACAACACAGAGGTGAACTAGCAACTGAAGACAAAGACTTCAACCGTGATATTAATACAGCAAGAGCAGCTATAGAAAATACTAATCAACATATCGAAGCTTATGCGATTTTGTGGAGTATATACAGGAGAGTTGTTGATGATCTTCATAAGATTACCAAGATCGTACAAGTTGTTTTTGCCTTATGTAATCTGAATTTGAGTAAACACCCAATACGAAAATATAGCGCTTGAGAAGCTAGATGTATGTCTTTGTTAACTATTTGACAATAAAACATTATTGATAACACTTTAAATTGCTTTAATTTTCTAATAAGTTTTGATATATACTAACAAGTTTGATGTCAAACACTTTAACAAAATGATCAAAATAAAACATCTAATAACCCTCAATCATAGTGTCACAAAAGAGCTAAAAAGATAACAGATTGTCAACATTATATCTGTACTGTAACCAGTAAAAAATCACATTTTTCTTATATTTGACTGAAACCATATAAGAAACAATAGTTGACTTATCGTACTATTGATCATACTCATCATATTGGGAAAATTTCCGATATGAAGTATGGATATTTCGAACGGGTGCGAATGTGCTTCAATCATCTAACTAAACACTGACCAGATAAAAAAAATAAACAATGACAGATGTTCATCTGCCAGTCATATTGATCAGTACAGACTGATATCAGTGCTTAAGAATGGAAAAACATTATTTTGAAAAACTAAAACCAAAATGTTAGCCTAGCATTTAAGTTATCACCGACGCTGTCAGCTGAAAAACTTTATAGGCTTCTCAGTTGTTTTTGTAAGGGGTCGAGAAAAAATGTAATTTATCCTGCTGCGCCGCCTATCATAATATCGGTTAACATCCATACTCCCAGTTGTGCGTTACGTAACTTCAACAGTCTCTATTCAAACTTTATATACTATAAATCATGATTATTTTTGGAGTCAGTTCTTATTCTACTATGTCACAAATTCATAAGTTTTCTGTTATCGACTACAGTAACTTTCTTTTCTTATCGCAGATCATGTATGCCAGAGTGTCCGATCAATTCTACTCTTTTTTTCAGACCAATTATACTCAAGCTGCATACTATAATTTGGCTCGACCCTATGCAGTAAAGTGAACCGCTGAACTTTTTGATGCCCTTCTTGATCAATTTTCGTATATTACAGTTTATATTCTCGTCGAATATAATATAAATCAGTTGAACATAGGAGTTGACTTATATTCTCAACATTGCATTCTTTGAAGAAAATGAGAGCGTCAGTAGACATAAGCTAAGATTTGAATCACTCGATTAATTTTGTACTAAACCCAAACGCAAACCCAAACTCATTTGACCAAACCCAAACCCAAACTCATTTGACCAAACCCAAACTCAAACCCAAACTCAATACCCAAACCCAAACCCAAACCCAAACTCATTTGACCAAACCCAAACTCAAACCCAAACTCATTCGACCAAACCCAAACCCAAACCCAAACTCATTTGACCAAACTCACCAAACCCAAACGGTTTGGGTTTGACCCATGCCTAGATACAATGAGAAATCAATAATAAACAGTTTAATAAATTTATTGATTGCTAAAAATGAAATGAAAGAATTTGACAGACTGACAAAAATTTCTCTATCATCTTTTTTTCATCTTGAATAAAAAAAATAACTTGCTAATCTTAAGTTAAAAATTTCAATCTCATCTTTAATATCAACTCTTCTTATTATTGTGAATAATTCACAGTTCTGCATATGTTTTATGTTTGAAATTCTTTCTAGTTGAGTGATTGAGAATCAACAAAATAAAAAATAACAATTAAATCAAATAATTTACATTGTATATAAAATCTATTATATTGACAATCTATTTTATAGTTCTTGAGTAAATTTTCTGAATCAATCATTTGATATAATTTTTCTACCTTATTATCCTTTGCATTATCACAAAATATGCATATCGTCATAGGACGATAAATATTGTTATCTTTAATATCCCATAAGATATGTCGTATGACTGGTTTAAAATTAGTATCTCGAACACGTTCTATTCCATAAATTGTATACGAGGAAAGTATTTAAAAATATATTCTATTGGTTCGTTTTTAGTTACATTTTGAAGATTTATTTTACTAATTTTGTTAAATTCTAAAAATTCATTAAAGATAATCATATATTAAGGAATGAAAACTAAATTTTCACAGAATGGTGAATTCGATAATCTGATTGAATTCAGATTTGTTAATGTGTGTAAAATTTTAATTAAAAAAAAATAGCCATTCGATCACATTCAATATTCAAATAAGTAATTTGTGTCGTAATTAATATAGGATTAATTTTATCAATTATTGATTCCTCCTTTACAGTAATAAAAGTACCAACAACATTAAGTTCAACTAGTGAAAAATAAGAATTTGAGGAATCATTAATATTATTTTTTGAATTTTGATTAACATGTAAATGTTCTTGAAAATCGATCCAAGTTTCTCTACAAAAAAAAACACAACTGAATATAAAAAAATTACGTCTTGATAGTAAAACTGTGCAATATCATTAGAAATATCTGTTGACTTGATTTAAAATGATCTTTCAGGATTCTGATCTCTAGATTTCTATTTTTTGATACGTACTGATATGGACATATTGAATAAATGAGTTCATCGTCTTTAATTAAAAGTTTAAAAATCCATTTACAATTAATCCAAAATGATGAAGTAAAACGATTAATTAATCAATGATAAAAACTTATTTGAAATTTAGCATCAATAGTATCATTATA